CCACTACCACCATCGTCGCCATTGCCGCCCCCGTCGCCATCGCCGCAACCCCCACCGCCGTCGTCACCACCACCATCTCCACTGCCGTCACCACCACCATCGCCACCGCCTCTCATTCTCACCATCACCATCGCCACCCACCACAACCATTACCGTTTCATACCACCTCCACTGTTGTTTACCACCTCTCACCCTCATTACAAATTGATTCTTAAATTTTTTTTATTTATTTTCTATATTTGTGATTTGATTTTAGATATAAATCACAAATATTTTTATTATTTTTTATTTTTTATTTTTTATTATTCTGTATTTTCATGTACAGATAATAAATATATATTGTGTTTTTTTATAAATGAAAACTCTGCACAGGGAACTGAGCTGTCATGTATCTCGAAGAATCTTAGGATTAAAAAACTTATAAACGCCGTTAAGTACGCTAGTAAACACACTGTCACTGCACATATAGAGACTCGCGCGAAGCTCCAACACGCTGGAAACATCCAAGAGNAACGCCGTTAAGTACGCTAGTAAACACACTGTCACTGCACATATAGAGACTCGCGCGAAGCTCCAACACGCTCGAAACATCCAAGAGAGAGAGAGAGCGAAGCACTGTTCTTCTCACGGATCACAGTGAAAATTCGTAAGATATTTCTTTTTTTGTATTCGCCAATTCAAAACCTTCAGTGTTTGTTGATCTGGTATTTTGGTTCCTACATTGCAATGTACTTGAATTCATCGGCTCATTCTGCATAGATCTGTATAATCGTCGTTTTGTTGATTTTTTTTTTGTCGGTGGGTGTCTGTGAACAAATGGGTTGATGGGTTTATTATTATTATTTTTTGTGTGGTTTTTATGGCCAATTTGATTCGAAAATGAGATTTTTTTTTGAACATTTTGTTGGCATTTTGAGTTATGTTTCAATTATAGGCCTTGTTTGTTTGAAATGAGAATGTTCGGAGACAAGAGAAATGAATTTTGAAATCTAAGGTGGGAAATTAGGGCGGCCTTGTTGAGTTGGTGAGAAAGCAATGCATCTCTCTATTTTTTTTTATTCTTTTTGAAGAAAATTTGTTAAGAAAACTTCCTCCAATCAAAGAGATAATGGATTTTTGTTTAGTATCATAATTTCCATTTGCTGGCCAATTTTGGTTCCTGCAAGTCATTACTGGGCAACAGTCTAATCATAAAAATAGGTGCTCTATATTTCTGTTTTTTTTTCATTGTTAACGTTGTTGCCTAAAAAAGGAGTCTGTCTCATTGATTACTTTTGAAATTGTTTGTCCAAATAGCAATCTTCTTTTGTCATTTTCAAGATTAGGATAAAAGAGGAAAATGTTCAAACTTTTAAGAAGAGATGCTTAGGAAATACACTTATCTGATAGTACATAAATGAGAATTGTATTGAGTTGAATATTTTATCCCCATGTCATTTTTGTAACATGCTTGGGATTTATAGCATTCACATATTGACATCATGATTATTGGCCATTCATCATGATGAAATACGAGTTTTGTGGGAATTGCAGTAATAACTGATAGGGTAAAGGATTTAGTTGTTGGATGTTTCATAACAAATGGTATACCATGAAGTATCTTATTTTGGCATAGAAGTTGTAATTGTAATACTTGATTTAATCTTTGCAGTGTAATGGGGATGGAAGTTGCTGATGTTTGTATGGATAAGGAGCCAGATTGTGTCGTGACGTATTCCGGTGATGTTTCCCAGGATTTAAGTAATGGAAGTACAATCAATAATCAGGATGTCGCAGAGTCCTTTGTGCCAATTATTGGGGCTCCGGAACCCCGCTTATTGAAAGAGGACGATGAAATAAAGGAATATGAAGTGAAGGAATGTACTACTGAAAGCCCAGTGGCGATTTCTGAAATCTCTCATGTTGAGAAATGTAAGAAGGAGCAAGATGTAATGAACTCAAATTTGGGGCCAGTTTACCAGAGCAGAAGGTGAAAACTGAAGCCCAAAAATCAAAGGATAATAGCAAGAAGTCAAGACCCTCTTCCAAACCTGCAACCAAATCTTCTGTTGGAAACATTCGAGCAAAGTTCACTGTTCCACAGCCTTTTGCTTTGGCAACTGAAAAGCGTGCTACATGTGGAAGTGGAAGTCGTCCTTCTGGGACTGAACCTGATACTGTGAATAAATCAACTCAAGCAAATGGTTTGCGACACCCAGTTGCTTCAGACCAGAGTAAGGCAAGTATCCTGCATCTAAGCCTTGATTTTACACATGGTTCTCCCTGCCCCTCTTTGTGCATCCTGTAGCTTTTTTATTTCCTTGCAGCTAGTCTCACCTTCAGTAGCAAGGAAGCCATTGCAACCTGATAACAAGAAGCATCCTGATGAAGACGACTCATGTTCTGTTGTTTCCTCGTATCCTTTTAATGATGGGAGTTGTAGGCTTAATTTGTTTTTCTGGTGCTTTTCCTTTTGTGTTCTTTTCCCGTGGCCACGCTTTGTAAAAAAAATAGTTCCGTAACTCTGCGGAGAACAAGAATTATTAAATTCAGGAAAACTGCCACATCTGCTCCAGTTTTTAGATCCACTGAACGTGCAGAAAGACGGAAGGAGGTAATGTACAATCAATTTTTGTCTTCGGAACTTGTTTTTGAATTCCAGTTGAATCTTTAAATTCCACGGGTGGCGTAGCTACTGTGATCAATGCGGTCAATTAAGTCTCTCCTAGAAGTTGGTTAGCTACTTCTCATTTTGTTCTAGGATTCATCTTCTTGGTATGTCATTTGTGGCAAGTGGGAAGAGCTCGTGCAGCTCCTTTTGAGCAAGGTGTCTAAAACTAAACACACCATGCAAAACAATGGACTTCTAGTTTTCATGTTTTTGCTGTCATCTTTTAGTTCCATTCAAAGTTAGAGGAGAAACACGAAGCACTGGAGGCTGAGAAATCTCAATGGGAAGCGAAGACCAAGGTAAATTTCTATGTTCTGTAATTTGGTTTAGTTGGTCATTACAAATATGCTCCCCTTTTTGGCGTATGCTTGTCGCAAGACTTGTCTTCAGTATCTCTCTTTTATTGTTCCACCCCTAGTGCCTATTGCAGTCGAGACTAAAAAGTTTAATGCATATCCTCTTTGCCTTCATCCCTTTATGCATTCTCAAATTTTCAGGAAGAGAAAGATGCTGCTATCAAGCAATTGAGAAAGAGTTTGTTGTTTAAAGCAAACCCCATGCCAAGCTTCTACCACGAGGGACCACCACCCAAGGTTGAACTAAAAAAGGTATGCTTTGTCCTTCTTGTCATGCTTTATATGCAAGCATTTTGAGAAGTTATTTGAATGCTTATCATTTTGTGTAGGATTGATGTCCTTGTCATTTAATTAATGTCTTAAATTTTCAGAAATTCATGAGTTTTTTTTTTTGGATTTCAGCCACCACCAACTCGTGCAAAATCACCAAAGTTGGGCAGAAGGAAGAGCTGCAGTGATGGAGTTGGGTTGTCCCATGGAGACAAAGAGATAGGAGGTTGTGGTCAAGGAACTCGTCACAGTCTTGGCAATTACAGAGCCACAAACCCTGCTGCTGCTATGAACAGGAGAGAGCGGATCAATGTCCAGAATGGTAATTTTACTTACAAATTTAAAGATGATTCCAAAGTATTGGGAGAGACAAACGAGGCAGTTTCACTTCCCCCCGAGATGAGTGGACAGGGGACTATGAACATTGCTGTTCAGTCTTGAGGTTCGTAAGTTAAATGACGGGAAATCTTCAATTTCTCTTGTTTTCTTGTGACTGCTTGGAGGCATGTTTGTACATTTGATTTCCTTATGTTGCAATTGGCTGTGTAATGTTATATTTATGAAGTGTAAATTTTGTAAGTTATACCCATACATATCTATATAATGATTTTCCTTATTGAGAAACTGTATCCAAGTACCTAAAGTATGTTTTGAAAGCCTTGTCCTTAATTATTTACAATGCCTCAAAGAACCCTATTGTAGAGTGGGCATGGCCCATTCCCAGAGGCACAGTTTTGTAGGGAGAGAGAAGATATTGTTAGTGTGTCGTGTGTGTGTGAGGTGGTGTACAAGGGTGACTTTTCTATTTTTATTATGTATTCCGCGTTTGAAACTCATGCAGGCCAAGCATAAAGTGAACACTATGTCCAAATATCAGCCCAACGTGACAAGTAGGGTATTACAGCCATTGATCTCACGATTGTGACCATCGTGCACCACCCCAAGTCTAGTGGGTGGTGACAACTAGCGTGGTCGGAGCCATCCTCTGAAATTTCTCACCTCCTAGACTGTCATTTATATTTGACATTATTTCAAACAATTAAATTTTTTGAAATGGATTAACTGTTACAGTTTTTTGAGAGTTCAACGAGCATAGTAAAGCTACAGTTAGCATCAATCAGTACACTTTTTTATCCTATTACCCAGTTCCCATTCTACTTTACCCACCCTGTTGGTCTTGTTCTATCTCCCATTTAAGCTTTCCATCTGGGGCTTGTCGTCATTCATTAAGCTCATTCACTTCTCATATACTCTTTTTTTTTTTTTTAGTTAGTTCAACGGTGAGAGATGTCTGGATAAGTTTATGTACATTTTGATTAATCATTTCTTTATTATAATCAAAGGCAAACCATTCCGATGTGGGATTAAGATATTCATGAAGGATAAATCTCTCCTGACTTAGTCCTAAGGGATTATCAAGATCTGAATTCAAGACGTCTAAGTTTATAATTCGCATTTGTTACCACTTAAACAACGCTTCGAGTTGCTTCTCGTATTCTCCTTTCTACACAAGTGGAAAGCAAAAGAGACATCTTAAACAGCCATTTCAAGTGCAAGTCTAGTAAAAGGAATTTAATTTATAAAGTTCTGAAAAATCCAAACCCAGCAGGGGAGAGTAGTTACTGTTCAAGTAGTGGTTGAACAAAGGACTTTCCAAAGAGTGACGGAAGTCATGGTCCCTTTGGCTTTAGACCATAACTAAGCTCCGTTCCTGACTACAATTGTCACATTTTTTCATTAGAGTTATGCTCGAAAATATGAGGGTAGGACAGGTAGAAGAGAGGTTTTGGTAGTTCATATGGCTGCTAAAAGATTACTAACCTAAAAGTAACTCAAGTGATAAAAGCCGAGCTGTAAATTTAAACGTTCTGAGTTCGAATTTTGATAACCCTTTAAAACGAGGTCACGAGGGATTTATTCTTTATGAATATCCTAATTCTAGTTTGAATGGTCAGCTTTTGATCAGATTGAGGAGGAGATTAATCGAGATACGTGTAAATTGGTCCAACTACCGCTAACCATTGAAAGAAAAAAAAAAAGCTCATGTGTTGACCTCAATATTGCAACCAATTCTACCTTGATTTGGACTCCATTAATGATCAATGAGTACTAGTCTTAACTTCCTCCACCAAATTGATGATGTATGCTCTTAACTTCTACCAATCTAATTCTCACTAACTCTTTTTCAACATCTCATTTTTAAAGTAAGGACGTGTTTGGTTATGTTTTGGAACAAATGTTGTGAAAAAATATATTCTGAAAATTTCTTCTAGATATGTCAAGGGACAACTGTATCACAGAATTGGATTTTTTTTAAAAGGTTATGTTATGGGGTGCACAGCCAAACGTTGTCTTAATATGTTTGTGTAAAAAGCATGGTTGGGATGGTGTGGAAAGTAAGGTCCACAACAACTCTTCTGACTCACAAAGGTATACTTCAGGTTCAACGTTATAAAGGTCCTTGGAAAACATTGCATGGCCATATCAATCAAAGACTCTCTTCTCTCTCTCTCTCTCTCTCTCTCTCTCTCTCTCTCTCTCTCTCTCTCATGGTTGAGGGGAGTGTTGTCTGGTTCGAGACCATTCATTAGAAGCACACATGTACATCATCTGAATGATCTCGGACCAGGCTTCATTCCCCCCAGCTCAAGACTTGGGCATTCTACAATGATCAAGCACAATGCCTAGTTGATCTGTTGCTCAACATAAGTGATATGAATATATACATATAAATACATACATATATATATATATATATATATATATATCTGTTATTTTGTGTGTGTGTGCGTGCAAATTCACACAAACATATACAAAACATACACACGCACACACACAAATAACAGATACATACCAATTAATTATCTCAGCATGCAAATCAAATGTTCATATTTACTCAGCTTTGCTCAATTTAACAGCAAAAGAAGACCTTGAAGCACAAGAGGACGTACTGAGCAGCTAAGAGAGGATGCATGCAATGATAACCAGCAATCTCTGCAGGTACTAAAGCCTCGTTTGGCTGAAGTTAAAGCAAAACATTGCTCTTGATTACCAGTAGAACTTCTGATGCCATTTTCTTGTTGCTAATATGAATATATAACTTACCTTTGCAAGCCTTTTGAGCAACCTAGCTTCAAATTTCTTAAGCATATAGATTAATATCTTCCATTTAACTGAACAAGTTTGAACTATAACCTGCTTTGAAGCAAATTCAAGTTGAGTTTTCCCTAAAATGAAGTTTTCCCACTGATCATCAGGAAGTTTATTGTAGATTTACAATCACAGCCCAATGCACGACTTTTCATCACAGGGGAGGGATAGATTTATGCAGCTCTATCTCAAGTGCGGAGAAGTTGTTCTCACGACTCATCAGCGACATTCATATCATAGTGTAGAATATTCACATCCCTATGCAAAAGCAACCTCTATTATAGAGTTGCGATGGAGGAGGTTTGTTATGGAGAAATGTATAGCATAGGACTTTCTCAAGGGAAGAGAGAAGGATATTCTGGAGATTTTTTTCCTTGGGCTGTAACTTAAGTGGTATTCTTTCAAGATATTTGATCATGGAATAGATCATAAAATACATTTTCCATTGAAATTGGCCTATCTTTCTCTGCATTCACCAAATTGGTTGAAAATAGTTATGGGGTAAGTGTGAAAATATGACTAACTAAAATGAAAATGAGAAAAAAAACAACAAAGTTGGTTTCAACTTTTCAGAGTGAATCTTTGTCTAATTGGACTTTGCTTGCAGGGAGTTACAAAGAATTTGAGCCAACAGCTTTTCACTTTATTGCTGCATGAGGGGGGGAGATATTCTAGTGGAGTACCAAATCAAAGTTTAGCTTTGAATTTAGTCCAATTCCACCATAAGACTGTCATCATAACATCCCCCTAGTCTTGGACCATTCTAAACTTTTTACAACCATGTGGGTCAGATCTTACCCTAGGTGGGTAATGTGAACTTGAATAACAAACAATACCATGTGGATCTGTTCTTTAGATATTTAGATCCGTATCTTATTCGGTATATTTGACATTTTTCAAGTTCTACAGTAATGAGAATCTCATGCACTTAACTATTTCTTTCCTTGTTCTTAATAGATTACTATTGTTAAACAATCATCTAATACAAAAGCTTAAGCTATTGGAGAGGATGTAACTTACGTATTTATACTTCAACACTTTCCTTTACTTTCAAGCTAGATTTTGAGTGTAGCACGTGAAATTTTTTTTAATAATTAAAGTGGCAGCGAAATTCNTTATACTTCAACACTTTCCTTTACTTTCAAGCTAGATTTTGAGTGTAGCACGTGAAAATTTTTTTAATAATTAAAGTGGAAGCGAAATTTGAATACAGAATCTCCTACTCTAATACCATGTTAAACAACCATCTACTCAAAAAAATTGTTCAACAACCATCTACGTTAAAAATTCAAGTTATTAGAGAGAGTGTAACTTAAGTATTTATACTTCAACAATTACTAACCATAAATTCAAGTGAAACTATCAATATATGATAAATGATCCATTAAGAAGAAAAAATGGAGAAAAAGTATTGAAAATGGGTCTTGGTTCTACTAATATTACGCAATAGATGATCTAGCTTTAAAACAAATTGAACAAAAGTGTAATAGAAAATATCTAAATCGAACATATTTTAAAATTCATGCCCTACTTTGTTCTAACATGACATGTTTGTTTGAGGGATTAAATGGCATTATAGTGTGGGATAGAAGGAAATAGTACGTGAAGCCCACCTATTACTTTGTTTGTTTGACATTTTACACGCAGTACTATTTTTCGGATCGTAATATTGACCTGGTTTGCATAGTATCCATTAAACCTTGTATATGGTATTAATGAATATCACATAACCGATGGTATTATTTTCATGGTATAAATGAAAAGACAATACAAGAGAAGAAAATAACACAAATGCCCTCCTCTGTGAAGAGTTTACATATAAAAAATTTATTTTGAATTTTTTCTTTATATTATGTTTAAGCGTACCGTGTCACCGGTTTTTTTTTAAAAAATTATTTTGAATTTTTTTCTTATATTATGTTTAAGCGCACGGTATTACCGATTTTTTTTTAATTTTTTTTAAAAAATTATTTTGAATTTTTTTTCTTGTATTATGTTTAAGCATACGGTGTTATCAATTTTTTATAATTTTTTTTTTAAAAACATTATTTTGAATTTTTTTCTTATATCATGTTTAAGTGTATGGTGTCACTGATTCATAGAATCCGATTCTTTATTTTTTATATAGATTTTTTACATTATACAGAATTTTTTGGGTATTGATTGTCATATCATATATTATACCAAATATTGTGTAAAAACGTTATACAAACGAAGTAACGGAATTGATGATGTTAAGGGTAAAATGATATATTTGTTATATAAAATGTGATAGAATAGATGGTTGTTTG